AGCGAGTGGGTCGCTAATTTATCGTTGGGGGAAGACGAGGAGGCGGAGTCCTATGTAACTAAGGATGAGAAGGCTGCGCTGGCCGCCGAGCTAGCAGTCATGACAGACCCAATGGAACGAAGAGAGAGGGAGGAGGAACAAAAGTTAGGATGGAAGCTGAGGATGAAGAGAGAGAAGAAGAAGAGGAGAGAGGAAGTGAACAAGATGACCGCATAGGTGGCAAAGGTGCAGGAGTGTAGAGCGGAGGTGCTGGCCCAACCAGACGATAAGGCCAAGTGGGACAAAGTACTGGGGTATCTGGAGGTGTTGAGCAAGGCCTGGATGGAGGAGCGYCAGGCAAGCTGGAGCCAGGATGTAGCGTTGAGTGCCATGCGGTCAGGGTTTAGATATTTCGCGCGCGAGTTCGTCACCCATATTGGGGGCGAAGTGAAGCAATTGAGAGATAATGTAGGGAAGTTTTGTGAGGGCGCCATTCAGGGTGCCAAAGCTGTAGCCGCTGTAGAGGGAGAGGCCAGACCCCGTACGGATCCAGTGAAACTCAAGTTCCCAGATGCGTACGGGGGGAAGAAGGAAGAAAACTTTGACTACTGGGAAGCCAGTGTCAATAGTTATATTTATTTGCAGCATATCTTGGTCGTGGAACAAGTCCTTGTGGCCTTCCAGGCCCTCAAAGATGAAGCGGCTAGTTTTGCCAGGTCTCTTGCGCGTACAGCCGGTTGTGAAATTAACCTGGTTGCGTATTCCAAAGTTACTCCTCTTTCTCAATTCCTCAAGCTCCTCAAGGAGCGGTTCGCTGACCCAACGCGAGGCATTAGAGCCTCTGATAAGCTCCAAACGATCCACTCGCGGCASTGGAGGAGTGCTAAGGCACTCAAGAGTACTATGGACGACTTGGTAGCCGTCCCTGACCACGGGGTCACCGAGCCCCAGTTGGTCAAGTTGTTTTATCGTGCCATCCCAGAGGCTCTACGCGGGCATTTCTTTGACAAGTCTCAGCAGACCGAAATCACATATGATCAATTGAGTAGGGAGGTCCTCCTGTATGAGTCAAAGTCTATGCCAGTTACCACTTTTTGGCATAAGGACCTGGAGGAGGGGAAGAAGTGGAAGAATCGTATTATCTCAGGCCAAGTAAAGGCCAAGGATCACATGATCCTGACGTTAGAGGAAGGTGGTACTGATGAGGTCCCRTATGATCAGATTGAGTGGGGCCTCGAAGATGATGGCAGTAGTGTGGGGAAGGGGAGGTTTTGCTGCTGTCGCGGTCGGAGGGAGGCCACAAGGTAGAGGAGGAGGTCAGGGCCAAAGAGGCCAGGCCATGGGAGGCCGAGGACCGGGCGCACAGGGGGTTGGCGGACAGGAAAACCGCCAAGCAGGAGGTAGGGGTTAAGGTCCCCCGTTAAATCGCCAGGGTAACCGGTCCCCACAACGAGAAGGTGGAAGGGCGCCTCAAGGAGGATGGCACCCAGGCTTGCCACAGGGCAGGCCCTGAGAAGACTTGGGCTTCGACCGACAATTATGGCAGGAACGTGTGGACCAGGGTCAGTGCGTATTTTGTGGTGACCCGGGGCACGTAATCAAATTTTGTCCAAAGTATAGACAGGCTCGTTGGGCTGCCCAGCAGTCAAAAGGCAGCCGCCAGTAGGGGTCGCAACTGCCCTACTTTAAGGCCATGCAGAGAAGTGAGCGCGTGCGAACAGGACACTCCCAACCCACATGAGCTTATGGCAGAGGTTGCAGGCCCGTGCCTAGATAGTTGTCCARAGACTGCTTGTGTTAGCGTCTCTTTAGGCACGTCCCTTACAGGTCTGGCAGAAGAATTAAAGGAGAGGATGCCAGCCTGGGCCAAAATGAAGAAGGAGAGTAAAGGACAACTGATTTTGGTAGATGTAGAGGTGTTTAGGAGTAGGCTAGGGGCCCTTATAGATTCAGGAGCTACCCGTAGTTACATTAGCCGTAGGGCGTTGAAGAAGCTGAGGCTAGGACTAAAGGTCCAAAAGCTAGTAGACCCTATAGTCAGTGTCCTCACAGACAACCGCACGATGCGCGTTGAGGACTTCGTAGAGGGAATCCAGGAGTACTTTCGCCTAAAGAAGGATGGGAAGGTGGAGAAAGTTCTCCATTCCCTGACTCTCCTCGTGCAAGATGACCTTCCTTTCGATGTAGTGTTAGGAATGGATTGGGGAGAGGCAGCAGGGGCCACACTCTAGTTGAGAGAGCATGAGTGTAGGCTCCCTAGTTCGTCAGGTGAGGCTAAGACTGCCCGCTTGTTCCATGTGTCTGGTGTAGACAATACCTTGGCACATTGCTGTCTCAGTGCTCCCGCGTTCGCGCGATTAGT